ACCTCGGCACGGATCTCCTCGCCCCAACGACCATCCTTCGGAGCTTGATCTTTCTGGCACTCAAGACAATGTGTCCGTCGGTGCCGATTCTCTGGGTCTTCACGGAGCTACAACCCTCCGCGGTTTACGCCCTCCCGGCCGTGATGACGCCGACCCCGGCCCGTCGTTGAGTCATCTCCGACGTGGCGATGCTCGGTCCGACTCGGCCGATCACTCCCGTGATGCTGACTCGAGCAGTGATGACTCCGTAATGAACGCTTTATCGGGTCGCCGTACTCGTCATCTCCTCCTGCTTCGTCTGACCTCGCTGGTACCGCGCGCGAACGTCCGATCGAGTTGAACGCAGATGACACGGATGGCGATAACACTGGTGCTGGCCGAGCCAGGACGCTCGTTATCGGTGGAAATGTCTGTGATACTGTTGCCGTCGATTCAAGTAGTGCCCCCAAAATTGGTGTCCCGCAACGAGCTGTTGACGCCCGCCTACGCCCAATTGCCTCCCTCTTGTGTTGACCGCGCGCACTGGCTCCCTGGATATCGTGCTCGCGTAATCTTTTCTTTGGCTGACGCAGCTCCCTGGCCACTGTTGGACGTCTCGCAAATCAGAGCCCTTAAACTTGACGTGGCGATGTTGTTCAGCCGCTTCTCCAAACCTCCTAACTGGCTATTTCCGAAGCCAGAGCCAGTGCCTAGTGACTCCGATTTGGACGCGGCACTCTTGGACGAGGGCAACGTTTCGGCAGTCTATGCTTCCGCGCCATGGGGAGTTCTCGCGAAGCCAGTGACCCCCATCTCCTTTGTGAAGGATAGTCCTCCCTTCCAAGTCTTGTCGCGGAAATTGGAAGAGTTACAGACAAAACATCGTCAAGCGGCGTGGGAATCCACCCATTCTTTTCCAATCTCAGAAGAACTGCGGCGTGCCGTCAAGTACTTCGCGATCCTCTACGTGGAGCGTAGACAGCGCCGGTCACGTTTTGGTGCTGCCTGGAAGAGCTTTCTCAAGATCGTGTTGTTGAGCATCGTGGCTGGACACTGCGACCTCGACATCCTTCTGGACCCTGTCTTCCTTCATTTTCCGCGCCCTGGCGAGCGATCGAAATGGTGCCCTGGGCACACTGCACCCCGCGGTCCGCGAACCTGTTTCAAGCTCTTCGTGACGCTGACCGCCAAGACCCCTGGCGCAACCAGTATTACCACGCTATTGAAGATCATCCCGGTTCCCAGCTTCCCCGTCTTGAGGGCAAGTTCACCCCTCTGGAGTAGCTTGAGTATCTGGTAAGCTGATCAACATAGTCGGCGTCCTGCGTCTCTCAACCACGTCTGTCTTGACCTTGTTCGTATCATGCTGTGTTGCGCTAGTTCCTTCATTGTTTCGAGGCTGACATATCTTGTTTTGTAGTTGCACACTCTCGTGTCGGTGACCGGTTGACCGCGTCGATGGAGACTTATTCCATTCATGGCTTCTCACCCTCGACACCTCTTTTGCATATCGTCTTACGTGGCAGCAGCTACACTTTTCGCCCGATTGTCAGCTCTCTGCTTCTGCTCTTCGCCCCCATGGCTTGGTTCACCATTCTCTTGTTCCTCGACCGTCGGCCTGATTATCGATTACGATCGTTGATCGAGATCAACGATCTGGATCGTCGATTTCGATCAACCATCTCGATCGACAATCTCGATCATCGATCCTGATCGATCGTCAGTCTCTGATCCATCCATCGGGGGTACGTAACGTCATCCATCATTTGGACTCCTCCTCTAACTTCCGATGTTCCCCTTTCTTTTCCCGGTTGTTGCCAGGTGTCTTCACGCATTGTACAAATACCTATCCGCCCAGTGTGTGGCCACCCCAAACACTATCTCCACCCGCCGATGTCTTACTCAGCGTTAATCCCTTCTTCATGTGATTGCATCACATTGAAGCGGTTACGGCTGGTGCGTCCGCGCTCATACTCGTACAGCAAAGCGGCGCAATTGAGGTCGGTTTCGTCCACCCATGTCGGTTGGTCATAGCATTTCCAATAGACCTGGAATTCTCGGTGCACCCGCCCATAGCGGGTGCGTCTCCCTGACCGCACATCCGTGATCCGTTCTACTTCGAATTCGTCTTCACCCAGTGGAGTTTCCCAGCTATCGTCTGGCAACAATTCCTCATCAAAATCTACCCGGTCATCGTCTTCGGTGTCATCGTCTTCGGTGTTCAAAATAACCTTTGGTCGGTCTGGGAATGTCCGTACTGGCTTCAGCTTCGACAGGTGTACTATCGGAAAGATGCGATACCCTGAGTCGGCGGTCTGGAGACGGACTGCGTGATTGCCGATCAGCTCGGATTCGCGAAACGGTCCATGCCACATGTGTGCACGCTTGCGGGCGTAACCTTCCTTTACGCGATCCAGGTAAAGTCATACCTGTGTGCCTTCCTCAATCCGGTGCGGTCTAACGTTTTCGTTGTGCTGGTCAGTCCTAGATTTGATCGCATCGCGTAGATTCTCGTTGACTGCTTCCCTGGCTCTGCGGTACTGTCCCTGTATGTGATATCTCCATCTCCGTGCATTGCAGTCACGACGGCGTGTCGATCCCACCGATACAACCGCTTCCAGTGTCGACCGCGGGTCCCATCCATGGACTAGGAAGAACGACGTTTCTCCCCTCACTTGATCGTGTGCCGTATTCAGCGCAAACATCAGCCGCTCCGCATAGTCGTCCAAGTCTTGCTGGTTGACGTCTGCAACGTACAGCTTCAGGGCTCGTGTCAGGGTTTGTACCGTTCTCTCAGCCTTGCCGTTCCCTTGTGGACGGTAAGCCATTGTTGCGCTCTGCCTCATTTTCACGATCCGGTTGAAGGCACGGAAAAAGTCCGACGTAAAGTCCGACTCCCGGTCATGTCTGATGACTTCGCTCGCGCCGAAACGACGGAAGACGCATTCCTCGTAATTCTCGGTCACTGTTAGCGCCTCTCTCGACGGATCAGCCTTGGCGATTACATATCTCGTGAACAGGTCAGCAAAAATCAGCAGTTCGGTGTTCCCCTTAAAGGACTTTGGCAACGACGGAATGTGGTCCATGGAGAAGATCACCTGGAAAGGTATGTACCCTGGATATTTCCTGGTGATTCTCCTTGATCCGTTGGCTTTCCTTTCCCGGTTTTGCAATCGGTACATTCCCCCACGTAACATTGTACACTTCGATACAGCCCACGCCAGTGAAAGCTCGCTTGGATCCTCCGTATGCCCTTCCGACGCCTTGATGGCCTCCTTCTAGACTGGCATGATAATGGTGAAGGAAGTCCCGCTGCAAGCTATCGGGTATCACCATCCTGACGACACCATCACGATCTTCGTCTCGTTGCAGCGTCTTGGGGCAGAAGAAGAGTAGCCCATTCTCGTCTACTTCATAACTCGCAGCTATCTTCGAACATGTCTTCGCCTCTTCTGCTGCCAAGACACTCACTTCCCCGTCCAGGTACTTCTTCAGATCTGCAATCGATTTCTCTTCACCCTGAGCCTGCCTAATCCTCTGACACCGTATGCACTGTATGATAGATTCTTCGATCGCTTTCGGTGTGTGGTGCTGTCTCTCAGTGGCTCGTGTGATTGCGTTTACGCTAACGACTGTCTCGATCAACTTTGGTTTCAGCATTTTGCCCAGTCGGTTGAGAGTGATCAAATCTTGACGGTCGTCCTCTGAGGTGACTATTTCACCCTCTTCCCGTTGCAGCACCGCACTTGCCAACTTGTCCGCACTCTGATTCCATTCCCGCTTCGCGTGGAGGAACTCGTGTTTTGGCCACGACCGTAGTCGATTTAGCGCCTCCTGTCGGAGTAGTTGCAATCCTGATGCTTTGCAGTCCAAATCACCCTGCATCTGACGAATTACCAAGTTCGAGTCGCCTCAAATTACGACGCGCCCCCTGTCCAAGGTTGAGAGCAAATCCAAACAAAGTATCAGTCCACGGAATCCGCCTCGTTCACTGTCAAGTCAGGCATGTACTCCGACATGGCTTCTACCACCGTCCACTTTGGGAGACACACGACTGCGCTATATGCACCGCCGCTGCGCTTCACTCGCGCAGATCCGTCAAACCTCACCACCAGGAGGTTCTCATCCTGTTCGATCATCGGTGGGAATATGGTGATCATTTTGCGTGGCTGTTTCTTGGGTGCTATCGCGACTAG